CATGGTCTTTACGAGGGCTAGGTAGCGGTCAATGCTAATCATGACCAGGGTGAAGATGCTGGTGTAGAAATTGATGATGATTATGGAGTTGACCAGTTTACATAGGGCATCTCCATACTGCCAGTTGAAGTCGTTGAGTATATACATTGCCCAAAAAGGAAGGCCACACAGCAGAATGAAGTCAGCCAGTGCCAGGTTGCCCAGATATATCTCTGCTACGGTCAGTCGATCCCTGTGGGCCGCATACACTGCCAGGACAAAACTGTTAAAGAGAAGACCTATCAGGCACAAGACGAAGATGTATGGGGGAACGGCAGTTTCAAGGACATCCCAGTCTGCGGAGGTTGGAGACTCTGATGGACCCACTGGCAGGGACGTGGTGCTGTTTTCAGACCAAAGTGTTCCCACCAAAGTAATCTTCATTGGCTCCATGGGCTTGGAAACAAAATTGAGAAATGATCATTAAAATGCTTTAGTTGGTTTAAAAAGAAGCAGTGCTGATATTTCAAAGCTGCTGCACAAAAAACTTCTGTCTTACGTCTGCAATGTAATCGCTAAACAACGTATTATATTTTAAAGACCGTGCAGCCTCTGTTAAGAAAAAACTCTGATGCTCACAAATAAAAGAGAGGAGGAGTTCTTACCATAGGTCTCCTGAAAATGTTCCCGAAGGGTAAAGTTAAGAGACACGTCTGGAACATCTGTGTACACTGAGCTCCTGGTGAAAGTATACGGCAAGTCAGAGGGGAGATGTGCTACGAGTGGGTTTGTATACACAGTTGCATTCTTCCACACCCTTGGCCAAGGAGTTTAATACATCAACTTGTTTATGAAAGAGTCAAATTTTTGGTCCCTGCACACATTAGAGACACGTATGCTGAAGTTGCAGCGCACTGAACGTTTGGAGAGAAGCTGAAACTGCAGTTCACCAAATGTATTGAATTTATCAATGCTACCGCGGACTATAAACAATTCTACTGTGACATCTTATTTTATTAATCATAAAATAAAACTGTTAAATGATACTGTTACACAATGTTTACTAATATAACAACAGTCTACGAAGCCAAAAGGAAGTATCAACTCACTGATTTATAAACAGTTCATATGAATGTCATCTATCTAATTTATCCAAATAGCATGATTATGTTACTATGTAATACCTCACTCTATTCTTTTATGTAGAGATATCATGAATTAATGCTTTTAGATTCCCAAAAAATATTCAGATTGTCTAAAGTTAATAATTCATAACTCTTAATTAATGTATTATCCTTCCCTTATCTGTTCTTAATTTCAAGATTATAAAATGATGACAATAAAAGACTTGATGTGGATTAAAACCAAACATGGAAATGGATAGAATGCAAACTACAACCCAACCTTTTTATCAGTATACGATGACAAGTGTTATTTGAAATATTAGTGTAGCTGAGTCACCCCTTGTATGGTCAAAATAACAACAGCCGACTTGAATCATGCAGCACATCCAGTGTGTAAGCAATCCTTTGTTATCAAAACAGCACAGAGCTTGTCCTTCCATTAGTCACAGATAAGACATTTAAATAATGATGAGACCGTTTTTTATGCCTTAGCGGACAATTTGTCATCTGTAATTTAAATGCTTTGTGGTCAAGGTTTTGTTTACTTAAATTTTTTATATTGATGTAGTGAGCATATTTCAATCTATACACGCTATACTCTTGTCTTTGTCACATCTGTCATAACAGCAGGTGAAGCTGATAACATCCATGAGAAACATCACCACCTCAAGGATTGCTAAAATAGCCATGCTTTGTTTAGCAAGAATTTGTATTAATTAATTAGTAATAAGAATGTATCATATGAAGTGGAATAACTCTGAACACAATGACAAACAATACAGTATAAAGGAAATTATACTGTCAAGGTATAAGAGGTAATTTACAAAAAAATGGAGCTGTATATGTTAAAAATACACTTAATAAATTGACTTTTTTAAGTTGTATGATTTTACATATGGAATTTCTTTTTCATGTCACTTAAGTAAACATCATATCCCAAAACCCAAATAATGAAAATCTGCAACACAAATCTGAGCCTACAACAATTGGAAAATGTTATAATATTGTTTACTTTCTTGCCAAGGTTTACATGAAAAGATTAGTTAGCCAGTAAGCTTTAGAGAGCCAGGCTAGCAGTTTCTTTATGCTAATCTTAGTCAACTAGCTACAAGCTAGAGCTCAATATTACATATACCATACATATGGGTATCAACTGTCTTGTCTAATTATATCCAAGAAAGTGAAAAAGCATATTGCATTTCAATCTAACTTACTTCTTTAATGCCTGTTTTTAGTCAGATTTTCTAATTTGACTAAAATGAGATTTAGATTTTAGTAGTCTCACTATGTTTAGTTGAGTTATGATTGGGGCTGGAATAACCAAACTTCCCCCAATCCTGTTTCCTCCTGCACAACATGAGTCTAAACACTTCTCTTGCCCTCTGCTTAAAGTGCTTCCCCACAATCACGTACAGGAAAGGGTTCAATGAACTGTTGCTGTAGCCAAGGTAAGTAGTTAACTGGTTGCCAATGTCCAATACATAGACCCACGTACATCCAGAAATGACCTCATAATGATCCAAGGTGTCCAAGACAATGAGAATCTGGTAGGGCAGCCAGCAGAGAATAAACACAGCCAGAACTATGAGGACGAGGTACGCTGCTTTCCTCTCCACACTCCCTCTGCCGCCTTGTCTCATCTTCTGGCTGCTCTGAATGACTTTAATGATGTGGTAACTGCAGAAAGTGACAATAGGAACAGGGATAAGGAAGCCTACAATGCTGACAGTGATGTTGTAGCGCAGTCTCCAGCCTTCATGGGGGTATGCCAGGTAACATGCATCAATGTCCAGATGAGGGAAAAACTGCACAGAGCGGAAAAGGATAGCAGGGAAGCTGAGCAAGATTCCAACAATCCAGATACTGAAGCAAATTCCACGTGCCCAGAGGGCTCGTCTCTTCCGCCCATGGGACAGCGGTCTGGTGAGGGCCAGGTATCTGTCCACACTCACAAGCGTAAGGAACAGCACACTGCAATAATAATTCATCCCAATGACAATATTGATAAGTTGACACATGAGCTCCCCAAACTTCCAGTTGAACCTGTCAAGAATGGTCGCCACCCAGAATGGCAGACAGGAAACCATGAGAAGATCAGCCACTGCCAGGTTGCCCAAGTAGATGTCAGCCACAGAGCTGCGCTGCTTCTGGAGACAGAACACGCAAAGCACGAATGAGTTGCCGATCACTCCAAGAAAGCAAATGATGGACATGTAGGCTGGCTGCATGGTGTAAACCCAGTCCCATGCATCTGTGTGGTTGCAGACAAGCTCAGATGTTGAAGCATTTTCCATGAGTTACTCCTCCTGTGAGCCGAGGATCACTGTGAAAGCTGCTGCACAGTAACAGCACCTGTAGAGGCAGAGAAATAAGGATGAGTTCAAACCTAATGTGTGTACCTGTAAAACCTTTTAACTGTGTCAACACAGTTTTGATGTTCATCGTGATTTGAGTTGTAAGTGAGAAGGAACAATTGATTTCTTGGACCGTGGCTAATGGTGGTTTATCAGACTGACAGCAACAAAATTCCATTGTCAAAGACAGGAGTCGTAGCAGCGACTGGAAATTTATTATGTAAAATGTTATTCTCCAGCCTTGGCAAATATATTTCCATTTCTTCGTGAGAATAAACTGTTTTCGGACTCACTTGTGAAAGCAGTGTCTAAAATTATATCCCCTGAGTGGGCGGTTTTTCATGGAGGCTGTTGAGTGATATTTGAGGACTGGCATTGATACACCATGAGAAGCATATTCTGTCAACCTCAATGTCTTAAAACTTTGATACAGCAAAGATACCATTTAAAAATTGTGCAATCCGATTCTTTATAACAGTCCACATTTAACTTCTTTAGATCACAGTTTTTATTTCTTTTTGTAAGTGGCATCTTTTAGCATAGCTTGCTAATATTAGTACCACTAGACATAAAGTTTTGATTTTTGGAGCATAAGCTGTCTTACTTTCATAGGTTAGGCTGAACCCCTCTTTTTTGGGATTTGAAACAGCAGGTAATGTGCTGAGTCACAGACAAACATAAAGAAAGCTTGAATTACGTACCTCTGGTTGTATGCCTCCACCACACAGAGCACTTTCAGTCTATGCATTTTTCTGGACAGGTCGACAGGTCACCGGGACCTTGGCCTTTGACCACTTAATTATAACCACTTCATCCGTGAGTCCAATTGAACATTTGTACCATATTTGAGGAAATTACCTCAAGGCATTCTTGATATATGTTGTTCACAAAAATTGGACACACAACATAATGCCTCTGACCACAAAGAATGGGTGAACCTGTCGCCACACAAAACATTTTTAAAATAAATTCCTTCCTTTTCAGAGAATAGTTTCACAGACCAGTGTAAAACCTTTGAACGAAAAAGAAGTGTATGAATTGCATGCTGTCAGAATCCTGAAAGACAGACAAAAATACACAAAATAGGTCAAACTGTGTATGATTGGTGCACACTCAACCATTTGAGGTCGCTTTTTTCTGGCGTGTTTTTCATTTTCCGTTCCACAACAGTTTTCAGACCATGCAATAGTCTCCTGACCAAGATTTCCTGTTTGGCATCACATGCCTTCATTTCGGAGACAACTAGGGGTGTACCCTTGCCCACAGACCACACTGAGTCAACACTGGGCCATTAAAAGGTAGTGTGGGGAGAAATGTATAATGAGAGCAAACAGCCAGCAAAAAGGGAGCATGTTTGTGTGTCACCACTGGAAACTCGTCAACAGAATCCTGTTTTAAAGTCTGGAGATGGTGAGTCAGAAACATAAGAAAACACTTAGCATGCAGTTGTTGGGGCTCTCTTACATTATTATATGTGTGCTTGACAGCTAAAATAATTGAGAGACTCCCATAAATCATTTGCATGTTTTATTTGATGCTTATGTTCAGAGATAAAACATTTTATATTCACGAGAGTCATCAGAAATACACGATAGCGCCTGAACATTTATATACATTATTTTACAGGTACATTTAAATCACACTAACTGTACATTCAACATACTGATATTGTTTTCCAACGTGAAAGTATAATTGTGTTGGGTTAACTTTTTTCAGCTCATGCTTATTACTCACATGCTTGAGACACCTTTGTTAGTTCCCTGTAACACCCAGGGTAACAGTTCTGCCCCATATGACCCGAGACAAATGATCACATTTCCTGAATGACATCTCCTCACAGAATGACTTGTTGAAAGATGGTTTAGTCACATTATTACACAATAATTTCCAGTAAAGAATTTAGGTCATTATATGAATCATTTTGATCTGCATTTGATTATCATTCTCCACAGTCTCTGCAATTTGGACTTGGAACAGTTCAACAACAGTACTTTATTTCACAGTCTTTAGAGTAGACAGCTGGGAGCTTGTGGACTCCATGGTTGCTCTCCTCTTAATGCTCCACTGCTTGAAGAGTTCCCCAACTTTTTTCCGGAAGTTCTTTCCTACGATGACATACAGGATGGGGTTGAGGACACTATTGAAAAAGGCTAGATAGGTTGAGATCTGGTTCAAAATGTCCAGGACATTCGAAAAGTGACACCCTCCCAGGACTTCCGCCCTAAGGAGCAAGTCCAGTACGGTGACCAGGTGGAACGGTAACCAGCAGATGAGGAAGGCCAGGAGGACTGCCAGTATCAAAGTGGTAGCCTTCTGCTCTGTTTTCTCAGCGCTGTTCCTTTGGACACGCTGGACTTTCAAAGTCTGAATAATTTTGAATGTGCAGAATGAGATGATTGAAATTGGAATGACGAAGCTAAAAATGATCAACATCCTGTCACAGAGCATTTCCAAGGTGTGGTTTGGGTATTCCAGAAAGCAGGCATTCACATCATACTCAGGGAAATATTTCAACTTCCTGAAGATGATTGTGGGGACACTCATGAACAATCCGAAACCCCACATCAGCAGACAGCCCAGCTTGGCATACTTGGGCCTGCGCATTCTACCATGGGACAACGGATGTACCAGTGCCAAATAGCGATCTATGCTCACCAGAACAAGGAAGTAAATGCTAGAGTAGACATTCATCTTAATGCCCAGGTTGACAAATTTGCACAGGAACAGACCAAATGGCCAATTGAAATTATTGGCTACATTGACGGCCCAAAAGGGCAGACAGGACAACAGGACAAGGTCAGCAGCAGCCAAGTTGCTCAGGTAGATCTCAGCAACAGTGCAGGGCTTCTTGTGGAGACAGAAAACCATCAGAACAAATATGTTCAACACAACTCCCAGCACCGTGAGGATCAGGATATACACTGGCTGACTGGTGGTGAGCCACTCCCAGCCATCGTGTTCAGGACATTGTGTGCCATTGGTTTGGTTTTGATATCCATATAAAACTGTGGTGCTGAGATCTGGGATGCTGTGAACACAAAAAAAAAAAAAGACAATTATACACTGATGAATAAGTAAAGCTTATTTGCATTCTTGCTGGGAGTTACATGAGAAAATTGTCTCTCACGTCTTTGCAATAGATTTTAAGTTGGAGCCAGCAACTGGGTATCAGCCTGATGCAAAGCAGGCTTTCAAAAAATCAATCCATCATTTAAATGTTTTTATTTAGGGTTAATTTCAGTGATATCAGCAGTTATAGTAGAATAATACACATTCACCAGCATACACAATATATACTGTGATAATCCAAGGAGACATTTACTTTTCTTGGAAAATACTCCACAGTACAACCAGCATCCAACTTGTCACATAATATAAAATGAATCAGCTCCCATTGTTTCATTAATTAATTATTAATGAGTCAGTTAAGTATTTTTCTCTGTGGGAGAGCCTCCACCCACTGAGGCAATGTTCATTGAAGGCTCATCCCCTGACCTGTTTCCATTGGAGCTGAACAAAAAAGTCCCTGGCTCGGTCAATGCTGAAGACATTTTTACTTGTACAACAAAGTTACTGAGGCAGGATACCAACATAGCAGAAGCTACACAAAAAGAGCTTTTACAAACAGCTGATCATCAACTGAGCTCTCTGAGTGATAGCCATTCCCACGTCAACCGTGTTTTGAAATCACACTTTATACTTATGGGGATATTTCTAAATGATTTAATAAAACCATCAACAATCTCCAGAGCTGCAATTTCAGAGCAAACTTCATGTGATCCAACGAGTCACCACCAAGTTTATTTTAGTTGAAAGAAGAAGAAACCAGCACAGTGGCAGCAGACAAACTGAATCCAGAAGCCTGTGTTTTAAAGTACAGTTTGGCTTTTACAATAAACACATTGCGTCAATATAATTTCCATTCAAATTCCAATTCAATCAAACAGCTTACCGACATGAACACGAAACTTATTTAGCGAAACAGGTGAGATGCTGAAAGACACTTGTACTGTGGGGAACAATTCTGGTTATTCAACTCTCTTGAGTCAGCTGTATTCAACTGAACTGCTTACTGATATGTAACAATATATTCACCCAGCAAAACATGATGTCCAACAAAATCTGATGAACAACTCTCTCCACACATTGCTGTACATTGTTATTGACAAAATGACCACCTAACCTGTCACTTTTAATCCATAAAACATATCTCTATTTATGTGAAATCTTTTAAAATACATAAAAGCTATAGAATATAATATAAATCTTATAAATACCTTGTAGGTACAAGAGTCATCCTTCCAGAGTGAGTGGAGATATGAAATGTACAGATGCAGAGCGACACTGTTCCCGGTTCCCTCTCTTTCCCTCCTCTGTCTGTCCCTGACTCAGTCTCTTAAAGGAAACTGTAATTAGAGTGGTCCCAGCCAAAAAGTCATGCTTCAGCCTGCATGCTCTCTTTCTCTGTTCTGTGTCTCCTCCTCTTACTGAGATCAAACTCTGCATTAAAGTGTATCATGTAAACTATCATACTAAACATTGACTTGTTGATGTTTCAGGACTTAAACGTTAACATTCAGCTTTACCAACTGTGTGAGGACATTATAGAGCCTTCCAACAGAACCGACTCAATGATCCAAAAATCTTTTTGTTTGTGAAAATGAAAATCACAATTTATATCAAACAAATTGCTCTTTTCATATAAATTACTTATGGTCTTTTAACTAACTGTGGGGCCATGAGACCCCGATCCTGCTTGGATCGGGTTGCAGTCAAGACATTTCCTTGTACGTGTGCCTCACCCAAAACTGCAGGACCCTGTGTTTCTTTTGACAAAGACAAGGAGTCATTTCAGGGGAAGAAAGGATGGAAAAAATAATAATGGAACAAGTATGCTGTCCTGTTTTCTTGTATTCTGAATGATACACTTCCCCTGAGTGCGTTATGTCAGTGCTGATCCTCTGTTATGCTCAGCCTAATCTTCCAAACTGATCACAGGTTTATATCAGACAAATGACTTATCATCAGGTTTTCTAAAGATTTTCTGAACTGTGTGAGTGTGTGTGTTTGTGAGTTTCCCGTGGTTATCTCAGAAACACCATTTAGTTTGAACAACATGGTAATTTGAGAGACATTTAGATCTGAAAGTGCAGCTAAATAGGGAGAATGCACTTTAAACCGAATTGTGTTTTCAAGTTAGAATTGATTAGAGTCAAGAGAGGGCTGAAGAGCAGTCAGTAATGTGTGGAATCTAATCTGGTCTGTCATATTCATGTGATTAGTATGAGTTAAATTCATGACTATGAGGAAGTTGAATCACACACTATTATAAGACAGGGATCTTTCTTGAAATAATGTTTGAGTCAAAGATTTCAGTTCCTTCTTATGCTTTGGTCAAAGCTTAGATATTCATATATTAACTTTAATTCAATTCTTTTTTGACCTCACAGTGACCTTCAGGAGTTGGGAAACCTCGCAGTGAGACTGAAGGGATCAAGCCCCCCCGTTTGTTTTCCATGACAGGTCCTAGCAGGTTGTCCACACTGCAAGTAATAACAGGGAAGTAATGAGACTTCCTGGTATTGCAATGAACAAATGGTCTCTTCCTTTTCTTCTCCACCCTTTCTTTGTTTCATGAAACGATAAGACTCAAAATCAGATGTGGTAAGTGATGGATGCTTCTATTTATTTATATTTATATATTGTACTTACTTTCCCCTCACAACTCTGTATCAAGACAATAGAAGAAAGTTATGTGACAACTTGAATACAAACAATTAAACACACAGGGTTTATATAAGATCAACTCTAATACCATGCTGTTCAAGTTTTAGATCAATGTTGCTTTAAAGGACAAATTCAACTTGTCCAGGGTTTAAATTTAGACTGGAAACATTTACTGTATTTCCATCCATCCATCTATTATCAGAGTACCATCCATCCATCCATCCATTATCAGAGTACCATCCATCCATC